CGCCTTGGGGACGTTCTGCGGTCGTTTTGTCGTGGAGGGTAGTCTTGCTGGGAGGGGTGAGGGGGAGGAGGAAGAAAGGAAGCATTTTCACATATGTGCACTGCTATGAAGTTGCAGTGTACATCATTCAAGCTTGTGTGGGCGGTGTTGGCGGCCTCTAGGGCCGTTTTGGAGCGTCGGTGAGCGGAAAAGTCGAGTATGCCAAACACCATGAAGCACCCAAGGCACATCAATGGTTTTTGCTTCTTGGGGCCTTCTTGGGAAGCCTCTTCGAGGCCTCTTGGGGCATCTTTGAAGCTTCTTGGGCCGCCTGGGGGGCATCTGGGCGTCTCGGCCGATCTCTCGGCGACTCGGGGCCCTCTTGTGCCGTCTTCAGGGCTTCTTGAGGCCCTCTTGGCCCGTCTTGGGGCGCTCCTGGGCCCGAACAGTCACGCGGCACCATTTGGCACAGCCCAGGGGGCACGCGGGAATCCCCAGAACATTTCGGACATTGGGGCCCGTGCCCTTGGAATATTCCTCAGTATTGAGGACTGAGGCTCCAGGGATTGGGAACATTACCTGAGGACACGCCCACTCCGTGCCCAGCGGCACGGTGACGGATATATGTATATGGAAGGTATAGAGGAGGAGGGGCAGGAGGAGGAGGAGGACCAGTGTAAACCAGCACTCATCAAGGATGTTGGAATCCACCTTCCTTCCAAGCTCCCACTCCATATGCCCCTACAAAAGTTCATAGCCGCTGAGGGAAGTGCCCCTTTGGGGGACTAATGTGTGAAAGGCTTCAGCCGTGCGAGAACACCGTTCTCATGATTTCAACGCCACGGATCGACCTGATTGTTTCGTCTTGAGGATCCTGAATCTTGCCAGGACACCGTTGCTGGAACTTCAACATTGCGAATCAACGTGCCGGTTGCGCCCTGGCAATATTGAATCGTTCCAAACCACCGTGTTTGGCACGTTAGCCATACGAATCAGTACAATTGTTGCAACTGTTTGAAACGAATGTGCCCGGCGCCGAAGCGAGAGCCACATCTTGCAAATGAGCCGCTTGAATCTGTGAAACTCTTGCGCATTTTAAAACGAATGTGCGCGGCGCTACATCGAGAGACACACTGTGAAAACCACCCGCCCTTAGTCCATGAAGCGCTTGCAAATTATCGAATCGAATGTGCGCGGTGCGACGACGAGAGCCACATTTGGAAAACCACCCGCTCTCAATCTTTGAAGCTCTTTGAAGTTTCGAAAGCGAACTCCGTGCCGCGAAGGCGAGAGCCACATTTTGAAAACCACCCGCTCCCAATTCGTGAAGCTCGTGCTATCTTTTGAAACAATTGCGCGGCGCTATGGCGAGTTGAAAATCACGGGCCCTCCATTTGTGAGCCGGCTCTCAGTTTTTAGGTTTCAGGATCGTATCTGGCAAGGAAGTCGCAGGCGACACGCCCAGCCCTTCCTTCCCTCTGGCCTCGGGGTGCGATAAGGGGGAGTTATTCATAAGGAGAAGGAGTGGAGGGTGGAGGCGAGTTGGAGCTGGACTTGAAGTTGGAGGCGTTGAAGGGCGTGAAGGAAGAGGGGGATCAGCGTAAACCCATGGCGCATCTCTGATGTTGTGGTGAAGCCTTCCTCCAAGGTATTTTTTTCACAGGTCACTGCGAGCTTTATTTTCACTTTATTTTCAAATCGAGGAATAGGCCACTGCAAGACAACCGTTTGAGTTAGTCGCGTCCAAACGAGGTCCCTTGGACTTCAACGCTGTGGACCCACGTGACTGTTGCGTCCTCTGACAATTTTTAGTGCCAGAGTATAGTTTTCGGGACTTCAACATCACGAATCAACGTGACTGTCGCGTCCCGGCAGTCCTTAATCGTGCCAGAATCCATTCCTGGCACTTAAGCCGCGAGAATCCTTGAACGTGTCGCAAATGTTTCAGACGAATGCGCGCGGCGCTACAGAGATAACCACATTTTGAAAAGGAGCCCCCCTCCATCTTTGAACCTGCTCCAAACTTTTAAGCCGAATGTGCGCGGCGCTGAGGCGAGAGCCATATTAAACAACGACCCGCCCTTCATCGCTGAAACTGTTGCAAGCTTCGCAGGTGAACGTGCGCGGCGTGAGGGCGAGAGCCACAATGTGAATACTACATGTCCCCCATCCTTGCAGGCGTGTGCACACTTTTACGACGAACGTACGCGGCGCTGCGGCGAGAGTCACATTTTGAAACCGACCCGCCCCTCATCCGTGAAGCTGTTGCAAATTTCACAGACGGATAGGAGCGGCGCCAGGGCAATAACCACATTTCGAAAACGGTTTGCCTTCCATGTGTGAAGCTGTTGCAAATGTCAAGTTGGTGGATCAAAACTAGTGCGGCAGTCTCATTCGAAACGCCCAGCCCGCCCCACCGACACGTGTAAGGGGTGCGACAGGAAGGAGCCCTTCATAAGGGAAAAGGGATGGATGGATGATGAGGAGGAGGGGCAGGAGGAGGAGGAGGAGGAGGAGGAGGAGGAGGAGCAGGAGCAGGAACGGGATCAGAAAGAGAAAGAGGAGGGAGGAGGAAGAGGAGGGGGAGGAGGAGGAGGAGGAGGAGGAGGAGGAGGAGGAGGAGGAGAGGAGGAGGAGGAGGAGGAGGGGAGGAGGAGGAGGAGGAGGACGTGGAGGAGGAGGAGAGGAGAGAGGAGGAGGAGGAGGAGGAGAGGAGGAGGAGGAGGGGGAGAGGAGGAGGAGGAGGAGGAGGAGGAGAGGAGGAGAGAGTAGGAAGGAGGAGAGGAGGAGGAGGGAGGAGGAGGAGGAGGAGGAGGGGAGGAGGGAGGAGGAGCGAGGAGGGAGGAGGGAGGAGGGGAGGGAGGGAGGAGGGAGGAGGGAGGAGGAGGAGGGAGGCGGAGGGGAGGCGGAGGAGGAGAGGCGGAGGCGGAGGCGGAGGAGGAGGAGGAGGAGGAGGATGAGGAGAGGAGGGGGAGGAGAGGAGGAGGAGGAGAGGTGGAGAGGAGGAGGAGGAGGAGGAGAGGAGGAGGAGGAGGAGGAGGAGGAGGAGGGGGGAGGGGAGGGGGAGGGGGGAGGGGGAGGGGGCAGGGAGAGTGGGGAGGGGCAAGCTAGGTGCGCTCGCGTCATGTCGGACATCCTACCCCTCCCTCCCATCCCTTACAATGGCGTATATTCTCTCTCTACTCGCACAGTCGGATGTCGAGCATAGCAATGATCCCGAAAGGGTACGCGATGCATTTTAGAGCACGGCATGGCATGGCGTAGAAGAGCACCGCAAAGCGTAGTATCAACCTAGCGTTGCATTGCATGCCGTGGCATGGCACGGGAAATGACGCCAGCGCTGCAGCGGGAGCACGAGTCGGAACGAGCGGAAGCGCGGAAATGAGGCCAGCGCTGCAGCGAGAGCACGATTCGGAACGAGTGGAAGCACGGAAATGAGGCCAGCGCTGCAGCGGGAGCACGATTCGGAACGAGCGGGGCCCGAAAATGAGGCCGGCGCCTCAGCGAGAGCAGCATTTTGGAAAATGCAGGCGAAAACCTAACTCGGGGGAATCGTGCGTGTCAAAAACAATACGCGGGGGGGGCTGATACTTTCAAACCGTCATCAGGGGAAGAGGGAGAGTAGTATTCATATTGAGTAATTGTGGAGGGGGGAGGGGGATGGGGGAAGGGGAAGGGGGAAGGGGGGGGAGGGGGAGGGGGAGGGGAGGGGGAGGGGGGAGGGGGAGGGAGGAGGGAGAGGAGGAGGAGGAGGAGGAGGAGGAGGAGGGAGGAGGAGGACGAGGAGGAGGAGGAGGAGGAGGAGAGGAGGAGGAGGAGGAGGAGGAGGAGGAGGAGGAGGGAGGAGGAGGAGGAGGACGAGGAGGAGGAGGAGGAGGAGGAGGCTGAGGAGGAGGAGGAGGAGGAGGGAGAGGCTTGTAGAACTGGGAATGAAGTATGGTTCCCTCAGATCCGACCCCAATCGCCCAATGATCGCCGAGGACCTCGCGGCACCTCCTGCGAACCTGCAGCTTGTCCCGGAAGGCCTCCTCTGACGGTTTCCCAAAGACGTGTGTCTCCTGAAGCTTCCCGGGCTCCTTCGGAAGCTCCTTCCAGGAGCTTCCAAAACCCCTTTGAGAGGTGTTGGAAGGCTTTTCTCTGGCGCTCCGCTATCCGGGTTTTGGACTCCACGAGTTACGTTGCATTTTCGGGGGACCTCACCTGGCCCCCAAAATTGGTGCCTTCTCTTGTGCCCGACGCGGGCTCGATGCGGACTCGACGCGGATTTGGCGTGGCTTCGACGCGGATTCGACACGGATTCGGCCCAGATCCGACGAGGCCGACATGAATTCGACACGGATTCGACGCGGATAAAGGTGTGACGGAGCAGACAAGGTCCCCCGAGGATGCAACATACTTGGTGTCCTTGCCTCTGCGGCCCGTCCTCTGCCGTTCTCACTGGCCGCCCGCGGCGCCCCACAAATCCCATCTTCGGCCTCCAAGGGCCTTGCGCCATTACCGTCCTTGACAATTACACGTGTTGACTGTACCGCCGTTTCCAGGGCAGGCTTTCCCCCCCCACCCCTCCCCCCCTCTGCCTCCCCCCTCCCGAGCTGGTCTCCTCCTGCCGCTCCACCTCAGGCTTCGGGGGGGTGGGACAGGGGGTTGGTTCGGAAAAGGTCCTCCTCCTCCTCCTCCTCCTCCTCGTCCTCGTCCTCCTCCTCCTCCTCCTCCTCCTCCTCCTTCTCCTGTGTGTGTGTGTGTGTGCGTGTGTGGGGGTGAGGGTGCGACATCTTCTGCGTGCGGCTGGTTCCCCCCCCCTCACCATGCCCCCCCCCCTCAGCCCCCCTGCGGAGCAGCGCCAGTGCGGCAGGTGCGGACGAAGCTTCGTGGCGGGCTGCCGCCGCCGCCGCCGCTGCCGCCGCCAGCGCCGCTCGCCGCCGCCGCCGCGGCCGCCGCCGCCGCCGCGGCCCTCCGCCCCCGCCGCTGCCCCCCGCGCGGGCCCCGCGTGCGCGGCCTCGGCACCGAGCCTGCTCGCTCTCGGCCCAAGAGCGCTCTCGGTGAGGCTCCCGCTCTTTGGACACCGGGCACGGCGTCGGTGTCTGGGCGCCTGCGCACAAGACCGAGCGCGACGGGGATGCAGCTGCAACAGGAGCGGGCGGGAGGGGGACTCCCGAGTCATGCAGCGGGCGAAGAGCGGCAGAGCATGGATGTGTCAGCAATCGGGGGCTCCTGTCCCAGGGCGGCTGTGCTGCCAGCCGCTCTGGGACAGGCGCCCCCGATCGCGGAACAGTTTGGCGTCCCCCGTTTTTCGCCCGATGACCGAGGATGAACATGCGCGGCTGTATGCTGCGCCACCTGGCGACTCTCCAGGCCCAAAACGTGCCTGCGGCCCACGTCGAGCGAGGGTCGCCGGCCGGGGTCCGGGGCAGAGTGGAGAGGGGTGCAGAGCCGAGCTAGGTGCGCTCGCGTCATATCTGACTTCCCACCCCTCCCTCCCACTCCTTACCGTGGCGTAAATATCCTCTCTGTTCGCGCAGTCGGATGTCGAGCAGGGCAATGATCGCGAGATGGTACGCGATGCACGGTAGAGCACGGCATGCCATGGCGTGGAAGAGCACGGCAGAGCGTAGCATGTCATAGCACTGCGTGGCATTGCGCAGTGAAGCATGCATCACAAAGCATTGTCAGCTCCGATGGGCTTTTCGGGGGGCTATCTTCTAGATTTTGGGGCCTATTTTGAAAAACCGAAAACGCCCGAGCTGCAGCGGGAGCACGACTTGGAACAACCAGAGGCACAGACATAGGGCCAGCGCTTCAGCGGGATCAACGTTTTGAAAGCACCCAAGCGAACACCCATTTCCCGGGAATCCTGTTTGTAAAACGCCATACGCGGAGAGCCAGACATATTCCAGACGTCATCAGGGGAGAGAGGGGAGTAGTATTCATATCGTGTAATTGTACAGCGTGGCCACGAGCTTCCCGCTGGGAGCCCGATCCAGAGCATGGTCTCGGGCGGGGTTGGGTTGGGCCAGCCGCCTGCGTTGACCCCCCTCCAGCACTGGGAAAGGGGGGCTTAACGGAGGGGGCCCGACCAGCCCTCTCTGCCCGATTCAACGCGGTGTGGAGCCCTCCAGCTCAGGAGTCCTGCCATGCGACGAATTCGATGCGGGGTGCTGGGAACCATGACATGCAGATCAACGTCTTGATGTTCCTGCTTGTCGTCGTCTTTGCCCTGAGCAAGGTGACCCAGGACGAGGGGATGGTCGAATTCTGGATCATCCTGATGCCCGTGCTGACCTACGCCATCGGATGTGCCAACGCGAGGAAGAAGCAGGCGGATCTCAAGCTGAGGCTCGTCAGCGAGATGCGCGAGAGCAGCACGCCCGAGTCCACGCTCAGCGTCTTCGACGACATGGTGGAGCAAGGCGAGGAGGAGGTGGAGGGGGGGAGGAGTGGGCTTGGGGCTCGGGGCTCTCGTCGTCGGCACCCTCGAAGTCTGCCCACGAAGAGGTTCGGTCGGCGCGGCCCTGCTCTGCACCTTAGGCGATGCTTAGGAAAACCTAAGTTTTCAATGTAAATCCTAAGATTTTAATGGGAATTCTTAAGCATTTCGCAGGGTGTACCGCTGAGGAGCAGGGCCGGCAGGGCGAGCAGGCGCTGCTCGCCTGCTCGAGTGCAGGGCAAGGACCCCCCGGGGGTCTCTTCGGCGGATCGCCGCTCTTCGGGCCTGCGAGAGATGCCCGGGTCGAGCCGGGGGCTGTTAGGGGGGTCACCGGGCCAGAGAACCCGCTGGGGGCTGATTTTTGTAGGCCTCCCAGGTGGGGTCATAGCAGGTGGGGTCGGAGGACCGCGCCGCGTCGCCGATGCACGGGCGATGCGTCTCGACGTGGAGACCGATGTTCTCCACGCCGATGGCGCCGTTGCATCGCCGACGTCGCCGATGCATCGTCGATGCGTCGCCGAATCATCGGCGATGCGGCGCGATCCTCCGACCCCATCTACTCTGACCCAACCTGGGATGCCGCTAAACTTCGAGAGGGTGCAGTGGGAACACGTACAGGTCGTTCTCTGAGAATGCAGTCAGAGCTCACAGGAAGGGCGAGTATCTTTCGAAGGGCGCCTTTGCATAATTTCCTGTTCGGCGAATATCGAAGACGCCTACGGCGAATCACCGCCGACCCCTGCCTTTTTAAAACGCCTATGCGTCTAAATGTTGGGCCGAAGTCTGGCCAAGTCTGGACTATGTGTTCCCCCAGCCGTTGTGGAATCCCTCAGGGGAACATTTGGGAGAGGAAGAGAAAGGAGGAGGCGAGGGAGGATACGGCCGAGGAGGAAGAAGAGGAGGCCTCTTGAGGCCCTCTTGAGGCCCTCTCGGGGCTTCCTGGCAGCCTTTTGGGTGGCCCTACGGGGCATCTTGGGAGCCTCTTGGGGGTCTCCTGGAGCCTCTTGGGGACCTCCGGGGGGCATCTTGCGGGCCTGAGAGGGATCCTTTTGGCCTTCGGAAGCCGTCTTAGGCCATCCATGGACAGTCGTGGGTCTCTCTTTGGGCGCTTTAGGCCTGTCTTGGAGGTCTCTGGGGCCGTCTTGGCGGCCTTTTGGGCTGCCTCGGGGCCCTCTTGGGCCGTCCTGCGGGCCTCTTGGGGGCCTCCTGGGCCGTTTTGGAGCGATGTTGGGGATGTAGAAGCCCGTCTTGGAGCGTCGGAATCCAGAGAAGATAAGAACGCCCAACTCATTGAAACACCTAAGAGCAATTATTCACGCTTCGCGTATCCTCATCAGCCCCTTGCCGCGCCTTCCCTGGACCCGTCCCAGCCACTCAGGCAGGTCTTCGACGTCACCTCGGCAGCTTAGCCCACCTAGCTGGCATACACCGTTGGTACGGACCTGGACTTGGCGCCCCGCTGGCGACTCGTTCATCGTTCACCTCGCCTGTGCGACCTCCAGGCGTGTGAGGCGTGTAGGCATCCAGCTTACGTCCTCGCGCTCTCTGAGTGGTTCACGCCGCAGGGCGTACATAGAAGTTTCTGGCATTTTGTCAGACTGCACGTTGCCCGAGCTTCCCTGGGTGCCGTCAGCCTGCCAGCCCTCACCGCGCGGCCCAGCAGCTGCTTTGTGAGCTGACCCGGCAGCCCTGCTTCGCGCCTGCTAGCTAATTAGGCTTGTTTCCGCGCCCCGGACAGCTTCTGACTCCGCCTGCGCTTTCGCTTGCGGACGCGACCGAAAAAAGTATCCTCATCAGCCCATTCGGAAACCCTGCCCATGAGAGTTGACGGAACAAGGGACGAAGAGGCACATGTAGGGAAACAAAGCGGGCAACAAGGGTGTAACAGAGAGATCTCTGGGAGCAAGGGGGTGGCCTTGGAGGGCCTCTTCGGGCCATCCCTGGGGCCCGCGTGGGGGCGGGGGAAGGGGGAGGAGGAGGAGGTCGAGGAGGAGGAGGAGGAAGACGACGACGACGACAACGACGACGATCACGACGATGAGGAAAAAGAGGAACAGGAAACGGAAGATGATGAGGGCAAGGACGAGGGCGAGGTCGGAGGAGGAGGAGGAGGAGGACAACCAGGACGAGGACAGAGCCCTCAAGCTCGCCTCTTGGAGCCCTCTTGGGACTGTTTTGGGAGATCTTGGGGTACCATTGGAGCTCTCTTGGGGGGTCTTAGGGCCTTCTTGGGACCCTCTGATGGGTCTCCTGGGGGTCCTTTGGAGCCCTGCAGAGCCTCTTTGGGCCATCTTGGAGGCCATCGATCAAAGGGGGGGCCATGATAATCGCCGCTTGGGGCGCTCTTGGGGCCCTCTTGGGGCGCTTCTGGGCGCTCTTGGGGCCGTCGGGGGGCCATCTTGGGCCTATCTCGGGCCTCTTTTGAGCCATCTTGGAGCCATCTTGAGGCCTCAAGAGCGCATCGGAAGCGAAAAGGCGAAACGGTAATCATCATCGATTGTCTCTGTTTTTTGACAGATTTTGGCCTCTTGGGGGGCCCTGAGGGGCTCCGAGAGCTCTTGGAACCGTACTGTGGCCCTCGTCGAGCCACATCAGGGTATGCTGGAAGCTGTCTTCTTGAACCGTCGCCGGCTACCTTGAGCCATTTTGGAGGCTGTCTTGGAGCGTCGGAGGCAGTCTGGCAGCCATCTTAAGCCATCGTGATCGTCCTGACACTCCGCGCCCCCGCCCCAAGAGAGAAAACCTCTGGGAGGGGGGGAGGTAAACCTCCTGGAAGGGAAGAGGTTGACGTGGAGGACGACGTGCCGTTGGAGATACTCTGGCACCCCCCAGTGCAGGGATCGTTTCGATTCCTCCGATTCGATTCGATTCGATTTCGACTTTGGGTTCCGATTCGACTTTTTGACTTTGGATTCCGATTTGGGCTCCGATTCCTCAACGGAGGCCTACTAGCCTCCCGATTTCCACTGATTCGACTTTTCCCGACTCGGCTGCCGATTTCCGCCGATCCGGTTCATGTCGATCGCCGATCCGACTTAGCGATTCGATTCTAGGCTCCCCTGCAGTACCGTGAATGGATGTCGGAGCGTCGGAGCGTCCAGGTCGATAATCAGGCAGTCGCGGGCTTGTTGACTGGCCACTGTTCGCTGACGGATGTGGATTTCCGGCTTCTTTCTGTTCGCCCTTGCCGGCTCATCTTGGCCTGAAGCCCAGGGTATCTAGAGGCGATTTTGTGGAGGGGAGCCCCCAACAGTACAATTCCATGGCCGAGCAAATCGCTAGTCAGTGCATCAAGAGCCGGGGTCCCATCAACAGGACCTTCGGAGTGCGGTCTATGCCATCGGAGTGGAACTGTTCAAACTGGTTGATGTGCGTGGACGGCGGGTGCTTCCGAGGCGTCGGAGGAGCAACGGGCATGGTTTTGTTCAGGACCTTGCCAGACGGGGACATGCAGAAAGCGATAGATGTTTGATTTTTTCCTTCCAAGGTGTCATTCCGCATTTGAGGCCGAGGCTGTGGCATCAGAGACCGCATTGAGTCAGCTGCATCACACAGTCCTCTCGGGGCATTCGTAGAAACGACACCATAGGGGCGTAGGGCGTATGAGAAGCAGAAGAAAACGGGCAATAATATTAACACGAGTGATATTGATAATAGCAGTAACAATACTAGTATCATCAACACTACTACTGTCAGCACTACTACTCGTACTACTTATAATAATACGAATATCATTACGACATGTAGTCATGAGACTGAACATACTAACCATACCTCTATACTATATACTATTAGTAATGCTTACCATGATTGTAGTCCTAAACAGAATCGTATCATAATAACAATAACACTGCGAATACTAACCAAACAAATATGAACATATCATTCATAATAATACTAATAAGGGGAGCCGGTTTTTGGGAAGAGGCAAGGCATCTATCGTTGGAGGCGTCTTGGGCCCGTCTTGGAGGCCATCTTGGGCTATCTTGGCCGTCTTGGGTGCATCTTGGCGGCCATCTTGGGCCATCCGTGCTGTCTTGGGGCGATATGTTTGACATTGAGGTCATCACGCGTCCTTCCGGGTGGCTGGCGGGTTGAGCCGAAGCCCCTTGTAGCTTCTAAAGGGGCAGACATTACCGAACATCCAGCAAGCCGTGCACTCCTGTGGCAAGCCACACGGGGGCGGCTGGTGCAGTGGTCTTCGGTCGATCCCGCCACCGTGCCATCGTTGTAGGTCAGCAGCTTCCTGGATGCTTGCGGGGATCTCTTGGGAGGCCTCTCGGAAGCTTCTTTGGAGGTGGTTATGGGAGCGTCTTGGGGCCCCTCGTCTTGAGGGCCTCATTTGGACCTCTTGGGGGCCTCCTGGCGATTTTGGTGGCTCCTTGGGGGCCTTCTCTTCTGGGGGTCTCAGGGGTCAACCTCGGGCGGAGGTCGAAATGTCTGCTCGAGTTTCCCCTCTTGGGGTCCCCTTGGGCCGTCTTGGACACCTTAAGCCCGAAATGGCGAGAAGGCTACAATCCTGGAACGATTTCCATGCACATGCGTTATCTTGGCCTCTTGCGATTCTCATGGAAGTGCTCTTGAGGCTGTCTGGTGGCGTCTTGGGCCTGGGCCTTCTTGAGGCCATCTTGGGATTTTGGCGACGATCTTGAGGGACCTTTTCGGGGGGGCCTCTTAGGACCCTCTTGGCCCGCGTTGGGGCCTTCGCAGCTCTGGACAAGTCACGCGACAACGCGCGGGGACGCGTGGGAATCCTACGGACGTCTGGCAACTTGGGGGTCCGGGCCTCCAGGGCAGAGGGCCCACGGGACCCGAGGACCTGTGACGACGGAGCGCTCCATGGGGCCTGGAGGCGCTCCAAATTGAGCCTCGCGGTACGGCGGCGCGTGTTGGGCTCAGGTCTTAGCCGTGCCCCTCTCGACAGGTTCCCCCCTGGGCGTCCAAGGGGTTTGCATCCTTTCCGTGCATCGTCGTCGAGGTCTTCGAGGTCTTCGTCGTCGTCGTCGTCGTCGTCGTCGTGGTGCGTGCCCGCTCCGCGGCCATGATCAACTTTGGCTGCATGCATCTGCGCATTTTGGGCGGCATCCGGGCTGCCGTCAGTTTTGGCCTGCGCCGTCAACCGCTCATCTCCACGGTTCGACGACGATGGCAACGATGGTAAACAATGGTGCAAATAGCTACAAATCAACAACAATGGGATGCATTGGAAGATAAAGGTGTTATTTACCATAACACCGACTTCCACCTCTGACCGGGCCCCGGCCCGCACGCCGCGCCCTTGCAGGGCCGTCCCCCCGTCGGGACGCACGCCGGCGCCTCGCCTCGCCTCGCCTCGCCTCGCCTCGCCACCGCCAAGTCTTTCTTGTTGTTACATCGTCAGTTTTCCTGTTCAACCTCCTATTTCTTGGACGGGCCGGAGCCCGATCTAGGGTGGGTCGGTGTCGTGCCGAGGCGGCGGCGACGCCAGCGTGGGCATCTGACGTCGAGAGAACCACTGAGGGCCAGCATTCGGCCACCACTGAACGATCTCGCTTGTCAGAGAACTGCGATCGCTCGACGCTTGACGACCCGTGAGGCGCCAGAGACCAGTGCCTGCGTCATCGCGACGTGAAGAGTGACCACTTCGGGGAGCCAACTGCCCCTCCTCCTCCTCCTCCTCCTCCTCCTCCTCCTCCTCGTCCTCCTCCTCCTCCTCCTCCTCCTCCTCCTCCTCGTCCTCCTCCTCCTCCCGCACTGTCAAAACGTCGGAATAGTGTCCACTTCGGTTTTGTAGGGGGCCCGAGGGTCCTCTGGTCCTTCTTCGGGCCTCTCATCTGGCGTCTCTTTGTTCGTTCAGGCGCATCTGACGCCCCAAAGGGGCTTCGTTGTTCAGGAGATGGAGGAAGGGGAGGGGAGGGAGGAGAGGGGGAAGGAGGCGGAGGGGAGGGGGATGGAGGAGGAGGAGGAGGGGGGGATGAAGGGGGGGGGAAGGGAGAGACGTTTGCCCTGCTCCTCTCCTCTCACCCCATCCCCTTCCCTTGCGCCGTGCGCTCGCAGAGCGCGACGTCCTCTCCTTGCCCTTCCTCCTCCTCCTCCTCCTCCTCCTCCTCCTCCTGCCCTCCCTCCTATTTCTGACGTTAGTCCGCCTCTGATCAATGATGATCGCAGCGTCTGGGTGGGACACTGAACAAAGAAGAGACAACTGACTTGGGCGATATGGCCTCACTACGGCTGCAAGCAAGTGCTGAATAACGAAAGGCGTAGAAAATTGGAAACAGAAGAGGAGCCCGCTTGGGCGCAGAGTATGTTGCTATGCCCCGCCTCTCCTTCTCCCCCCCAGGGGCCTCAGTTGTTGTTCAATGTCCTTCCCTTCGGCTTCGTGTGCCCAAGGCGAGGACGATGAGCCCGCTGCAAGTGCGATTTCGAACGGCGTGCCCACCTGGGTTCGACACTCGCGCACGGCAGTCGCGAGCGTGCCTCGCGCTTCCAAGGACCGAGCCGAACCGAACCGAGCCTCCTCCTCCCCCTCCGCACAGCACCTGCCTGCTGCCCCGTCGCAAGGCCTCGCGCCCGACGAGGCGGCCTTCAACAAGGCCCTTTGCGCCTGTGCGCGGCTCGGCAAGATCGACCGGGCCATGCAGGTGCGCGAGCAGATGCCCCTCCACGGCTTCCTCCCCGGCGCCGAGGCCAACGTTGCTATGATCAGGCTGGTCGTCGTCGTCGCCGCGCCGTCGTCCTTCTCGTCGTCCTCCTCTTCCCCCTCCTTCTACTCGAAGCTCGAAGCTGGGTACAAGGTGCGCCAATGCCTTCGAACAGAGGGGTCTTGGGGACGCCGTATAGCAACACCCTGGCAGCCCCCGAAGAAATGGACGGTGAGCCGCCAGGGCGCGCCACGGGGCTACACTCCTCTGCGATCGACGAGCGATCCCTTGCCAAGGACATCCACACCCCAACACACGCCCTGAACCTCCTCTTTCTCCCCTTCCTCTTCTCGTCCTCCTCCTGCTCCTCCTCATCATTCTCCTCCTCCTCCTTCTTCTCCTCCTGCTCCTCCTCCTCCTCCTCCTCCTCCTCCTCCTGTTCCTCCCCAAATACGCCTAAACCTCCTCCTCCTCCTCCTGCCCGTCGCCGTCGTCGTCCTCCTCCTCCGCCTCCTCCTCCTCCTCCTCCTCCTCCTCGTCGCCTTCGAGGGAGTCCTCCAGCGTTCCGAGAAGGAAGAGGCTGCGACGAGCGTTTCTCGGTGGCCTCGGGGGCCATCAGGGTTAGCGTCAGGGGGGGGCAGGGATGGGCTCTTGGGGGGGGGGCGAGTCGGGGCAGGCCAAGAGGGGGGTGATGCGAGTAGTTGCTCTGCCAGTGGTGGAGGTTCGCTGGCGCGGTCCTCGCAGCCTGGCGCTGCCGTCGCCCTGGGGGAAACACTGGGTCCCGAGGGCAGCGGGCCCTGAGGTCTCTCGCCGCCCTCGGCCCTCGGGGCCCTCCACGGGCCCCGGGGCCGCCGGAAAGCGGCCCCGGACGAAGGACCGATCCTTCGTGGCGCCTCGCCTCGGTTCAGCACGTCCCCGGCCTCCCTCCCCCCCCCCCCGTGGGCCGCGCACGTGCCGCTGGCCATGATTGGCGCTCCCCTCCTGGACGCCCCCCCCCTCGCCCCTCTCTTGGACGCCCCCGTCGGAGGTACCGATACCCGCTCGTCCATCCACCGCCGACAGGGGCCCGATGGCCCACTCCGCCCAGGCAGGTGCGGGTTCACCATCGGGGGCCCCCCACCGAGCTGTCGGCGCCGCAGAGTCGAAACCGATGATAAGGATGGGTCATCTTGCCGAGCTCAGCCTCTGCATCCTTGCCTCGTCGGTCCATCCTTACCTTCTCTCGACGGCCAGCCCCGCTCGAAACGCTTCGACATGGGCGTCCCAGGGGCCTGCATCTTCATCGCGCATCCTTGCTATCGGTTTTCTGCATCGCCGATCCCAGCTCGAGGTTCCCCCCCCCAGTCGCTTCTTTTCAAAGAGGCTGCGACTGGCGTGTTTCGATGACCTCGGGCCCGTTGAGGCCCGTCCCAGGCCAGGGGCCATCTTAGCAGAGCTCGGACGGCATCGGCTATCCGAGAAATGGAGGAGGAGAAGGAGGAGGAGGAGGAGGAGGAAGAGGAGGGAGGGAGGAGGAGGAGGAGGAGAGGAGGGAGGAGAGAGGAGGAGGAGGAGGAGGAGGAGGAGGAGTGAAAGAAGAGGAGGAGGAGAAGGAGGAGGAGGAGGAGATTTTCCAAAGATTTGGCCCCTCGCATGCTGCGAGTTGGCAAGCCTCGCGGCCGCGGGCTTCCCTCAGGGGCCACGGCTCTGAGGCCTGCCTCCTCTCCGTGCGCGTCTGTCAGAGGCGCCCGGAGCTGTCGTGGATACGCGCGCCGAATCTTGATGATGCCGTGTGTGGCTTTCGCCCTGATGATGATGATGATGATGATGATGAGGAGGAGGAGGAGGAGGAGGAGGAGGAGGCTGAGGAGGAGAGAAAGCCAGATGAGTATGAGGATGAGGAGAAGGAGGAGGGGAAGAGGGAGGGGGAGGAGGAGGGTCTCGAATCACCGTACGAAGCGATTCTCGATGCCCCCCTCTTCGGCGCAACCAAATCATCGCTGGAAGTGGTATGTCGCGCACGGACCCCTCGGTGCGGGATCCCACCAAGATCATGCTACAGTTCCAGCAAGTTCCCACTCGCATTTCAACGAGAGCCCAAGCTAGCTGCAACATGAACCCAGTCTTGAGGCTTCTCTTGGGCTGTCCTTCGCATCTTACTCCCAGCGCCCCCCCTCGGCGGCCCCCAATCGGGAACTAGTAAGATATTGTGAATGCCATGGGTAAGTCGGGCCTGCGCCTCTACAGGAGGAATATTCGAGTATAGTCAAACAACAGTCTGGAGACGATTGTTTGAGTATTTTTCCTTGTGACAAATTTTGAATATTTGTGAGTATTTTTCATTTTTCGTCCAAAATCCGCTTTAGGGGGACATGCCCGACCTAATGCTACGGTTCGAAAGTCCAGGGTTCGCTAGGGATTGGCTCCCCCCACAGCGACCGAAACCTTCCCGCAACCCTCCGAGAACCCCTCCCCGAAGGGCTCGGAGGGTCCCGGGAGGGTTTCCGAAGGGTGCTAGGTCGTTTTGGGGGACGCCAGTCCCCAGCGAGCCCTGCGCCTTCTCTCAGGCGAGGCGATCGCAAACATGGATCACGAGGGCGTGGATTAGCGACGAGTCCCGTGCCCATGGGAAATTACGGATTCCCGCCGCCGCACGAGGCGGCACCGGCCGCATTTTGGGGAGGGCACCTCCCTCGATTCTTTGGCGACCGCGCGCCAAATCCATGGATCGCTTAATCCATGTTTGTGCGTCCCCGATTGTGATCGTTTTTCCCCACATCCAAAGTGGGGTTCTTGTTTTCTCTGGACACCCCGCGCAGGAACAGGAACACACACACACACCCACTCACACTCACTCACACTCTCTCATCATCAACCTCATCAGCATCATCGATGATGCTCTCTCACATGCTTAGTCACTCACATACTCATCATCATCATCACTCGCACTCTCTCACACGCTCACGAACATCATCATCATCATCATCATCATCATCATCATCATCATCATCATCATCATCATCATCATCATCATCATCATCATCATCATCGGCATCGGCATCATCCTCATTCAAACATCATCATCGCCACCACCACTCACAATCAATCATCATCCTCTTCACCACTCATCTTCACCACCACTCATCATCCTCATCCTCATCATCGTTGAGTAAATTGTGAGGAAGTCTCAGGCGGGAGCCCCCTCCCTATGGGGCCCGCAGATCATGTTGGTAATCCGAGCGGGTCATCGGAAACCTGTAACTGTCGTCAATTTTGGGCTCCTCAAGCCTGAATATGGAGGAAGTCTCAGGCGGGAGCCTCGTCTGTGAGTGAATTGGGAGGAAGTCTCAGGCGGGAGCTCCCTCCCTATGGGGCCCGCAGATCATGTTGGTAATCCGAGCGGGTCATCGGAAACCTGTAACTGTCGTCACTTTTGGGCTCCTCAAGCCTGAATTTGGAGGAAGTCTCAGGCGGGAGCCTCGTCTGTGAGTGAATTTTGAGGAAGGCTCAGGCGGGAGCCCCCTCCCTATGGGGCCCGCAGATCATGTTGGTAATCCGAGCGGGTCATCGGAAACCTGTAACTGTCGTCACGTTTGGGCTCGTCAAGCCTGAATTTGGAGGAAATCTCAGGCGGGAGCCTCGTCTCTGAGTGGCGGGAGCCCCCTCCCTATGGGGCCCGCAGATCATGTTGGTAATCCGAGCGGGTCATCGGAATCCTGTAACTGTCGTCAATTTTGGGCTCCTCAAGCCTGAATATGGAGGAAGTCTCAGGCGGGAGCCTCGTCTGTGAGTGAACTGCGAGGAAGTCTCAGGCGGGAGCCCCCTCCCTATGGGGCCCGCAGATCATGTTGGTAATCCGAGCGGGTCATCCAAAACCTGTAACTGTCGTCAATTTTGGGTTCTCGCGCTGCCAGAACGCAGTTCCCAGGCCACATTTTGGACGCAACAAGGAAGTTTTTGGGCTCCTCAGGCCTGAATTTGGAGGAAGTCTCAGGCGGGAGCCTCGTCTCTGAGTGAATTGCGAGGAGCCAACTGTAGGCCACTTCGTGTTCGTCGTGTTCCCAGAACGCTATTCCCGGCACGCATCCACTGGGACGCACCCCTGTGCGCTTCCTCTGGGTCGTGCCCCCGCACGTATCCACTGGGACGCACCCTTGTGCGCTTCCTCTGGGTCGTGCCCCTGGCACGTATCCACTGGGACGCACCCCTGTGCGCTTCCTCTGGGTCGTGCTCCGGCACGTATCCACTGGGACGCACTCCCGTGCGCTTCCTCTGGGTCGTGCCCCGGCACGTATCCACTGGGACGCACTCCCGTGCGCTTCCTCTGGGTCGTGCCCCCGCACGTATCCACTGGGACGCACTCTTGTGCGCTTCCTCTGGGTCGTGGCCCGGCACGTATCCACTGGGACGCACCCCTGTGCGCTTCCTCTGGGTCGTGCCCCCGCACGTATCCACTGGGACGCACCCTGTGCGTTTCCTCTGGGTCGTGTTCGGCACGTATCCACTGGGACGCACCCCTGTGCGCTTCCTCTGGGTCGTGCCCCCGCACGTATCCACTGGGACGCACTCCTGTGCGCTTCCTCTGGGTCGTGTTCCGGCACGTATCCACTGGGACGCACTCTTGTGCGCTTCCTCTGGGTCGTGTTTTGGCACGTATCCATTGGGACGCACTCCCGTTCGCGTCCTCTGGGTCGTGCTCTGGCACGTATCCACTGGGACGCACTCCCGTGCGCTTCCTCTGGGTCGTGCTCCGGCACGCATCCATTGGGACGCTTCACAGTTCGATCTACATTCGTGCTTTTGAAACAGGATTTTTTTTTTTTTTTTTTTTTTTTTTTTTTTTTTTTTTTTTTTTTTTTTTTTTTTTTTTTTTTTCAATTTTCGTGTTCGGACTCTGGGTTCCGACACGCCCTGGGGTGAGGTGTTCAGGCAGCTTTCGCTTGTGATATCCTCGCAACTCTGATCTCGGAAGTGCCGTGCCCCATGGTGGCCCGGCCACTTTCGCTTGAGACATCCTCGCAACTTTGAGTTCCGAAATGCCCTGAAGTGAAGTGTTCAAGCCACTGCCGCCTGAAACATCCTCGCA